ACTTCTGTCATTAACATTTATTATATGGTCTCAAGCCCTAGAACATACCAGTCTATCAACATTTAATGATCACTTCTTCTCATCATGTTCCTTACGGATGCATATTTTAAAAAATTATATACATTATACATTTCTGATTTTTTCCCTACGAAATTTTTTTTCCCCTGTAGAGAGCTAAAGATTCTCCATTGCACAGCTTTTCTGCACCTCAGCTTTATAACCTCTGCCTAGATGCTTTATGTATTCCAAAGGAAACTGCATACATCCATAATCAGCCACTGTAGTCATTTCTGGGCATGGCAATTACCTTCTACAGTGTTATCAAACCACCCACTTCCCACTGACTTGGTTAAATTTGGTGCAGCAACGGGTGCTGACATCAGTTCATAAGTGTCCCAGATGCCCTGTTAAAGGCTGTTAGGCAGTACACAAGACTTAAAATTGGGTGGGGTGGGGGGAAGGGAAGAAATCAGGAAAATTAGTATGGGGGGAAAATGGACATCAACCCATGTGGCATGTTCAGAACCACACCTACTGCTGATGGTAACACTGGATTTTGCAGCATCCTCTCCAGTTTGGTCATGGTGATTCTGAATTATGCAAAACATTGCATTATTGGTCCTGAAATCACTTTGAAGGCACACAAATAAGTACTGCTATACTACATTAGGGCATGATGATGTCTGACATAATTGGATGAAGGTTTATTACATCAAGAATCACTGTATTACAATGTGTCAACCAATTTTGTTTTGGACTAAGATAGGCAGCTAGCCCTTTTACCCACTCCAAATTTATATCTTTCTTCCATTTATAAATAAACCATTTTCACCTGGAAAGAACCAAACAAAGGACCATATCAGTGTTAGTCAATCAAAACTCTCACAGGACAACGACTGGGGAGGGAGGCAGGATCAGGCATGGGAGAGCGGGCGGACTGGGACTGGAGCAGGAGCTGGCTCTGGGTGGGTCAGGAGAGCATACATGGTCACACACATGTTGCATCCCTACTGCAGAAACTCCGCCCATGTCTCTCTCCGCCACTGCATGTCGTCCCAGACCTTCTGGGCCAGCATCTCATGCAGGTCCTGGAGCATAGAGACATGATCCTGTGTCAGGTCTTCCTAGGTCCTCTGGCGCCTGCAGCTCCCCCGGGGTCAGGTGGCTGGCTCAGGTGGTGTAGCCCTTGTCCAGCTGGGGACAATGAAGAGAGAGAGTCAGCCATCCTGGAGACACTGCCCTTGAGGCTTTGCCCTCAACTGAGTGCCAAGACCGACAATTCCCAGATCAAAGAAAGGCGATGTCCTGGGCACAAGGCCATGTGCCTGGACAGCGGGCCTTTTCTTACAGGGACCCAGATGTCCCCAGGGAACCATGCTTCCTACCCCTCCGTGTCCTGGGGACAATCAGGCATGGGAAATTGCTGACCACACTGGGATCGAATGGGCAGGACAGGGGCCTCAAACTGCCTGGGCTTCCATCAGTGCGCACACGCCGGCTCCGACAGTGGTGGTGTCCCAGGTGAGAGACCTTGTGTCCCTGACCACTGGGGGAAAAGGGATGAGGTTTTGTGGGGGAAGGGGTGAGCAGCAGATACACATGTGCCTGGCAGTGCTCTCCCCAGGAATGGGTGCTGCTTCCAGCCTGCAGGCATGCCTATGTGTGGCACTCCAAAGTGTGTGGAGGGGGGGAAGGCACTCCAGAGTGTGTGTGTGTCTCGTTGTTCCCACCCTCCTTCTAGCGGTGGCTCCTGGTGGGTAGAGTCTGTCTATCGATCTGTCTCTCTCTCTCCCTCCTCCCCCCACCCCCTGGTGGGAGGGCATCCCCTCTCCCCCAGGTCAGATGTGTGGCCAGCCTTCCCAGAGCCTGTGAGCAGGAGCCCAGGGGTGCTGCCTCCTGGGGCTGCATGGTGCACTGGTGATGGACTGCAGCACGATGCCCAAGCTGAGTGACAATTGTACCCCAACCCCTCTGTGCCCGCCATCTCCACCCTGTCTGTGAGAGAAAACTAAGACTACTCACCTGATGATCCTTCCCCAACCTCAGAGGATGCCTGGGATGCATCCAGGCCGTGGGGTACCAACTCGAGGGTGATGGCGGTCACAGAGCTGGCCGTGTCGGGGTCCTCCTGCTCCTCCTCATCCCCGCCTGTGACAATGGGTGTCTCCAGCCCTGAGTCCACCACCGGATGCCGTGCAGATCTTCTGCCCCAGAGTGGGAGTTGCACTCCCTCGCCCTGGTGAAGGCCTGGTGGAGCTCCTTCAATTTGCTCCAGACTTGCTTCTGGGTCTGCGTATGGCCCTTGGTGGCCAGGCTATTGGCCATCCAGCTGTAGATGTTGGCATTGTGCCATCTGGAGCACAGATCCTGGAGGTTTTCCTCTTTGTCCCACACTTTGATGAGAGCCAGGATCTCCACCCCAGACCAGGATGATGCACACCTCTTGCAGCACCTGGCAGGTTCTTGGGGGGGACGGGGGACTTGAGGGTCTGCCATGCTGGCCAGATGACATGCTGTGGCAGCTGCAGTGTGGCTGGAGGCTAGGAGGGCCAGCTTCCTCCCACAAGCTCTTTCCCCCATGTCTGCAGCTTTAAGAGCTGCAGGGGAAGAGGAACTATGAAATCCTGAGGAGTGTGGATGGAATAGCTAGCAGGGCACCTGTGTGATGTCCTGGAGGCCCCTTATTAAAAAAAAAAAAAAAAAACCAACAACAACAAAAAAAAACTCCCTGTGCAACTTCCACTCATGCCCTCTTCCAAAACAGCTATTTCGGAAGAAGCATTATTCTTCGTAGGAATGAGATTTACAAACACTGGAAAAAGCCGTTTTTTATTTCAATTTTCTTTCGAAGTAATGCAATTGCTGTGTAGATGCTAGCATTGTTGTAGATGCTAGCATTGTTATTCTGGAATAACAGTGCAGTGTAGATGCACCCTTAGAAAAAACCAAATGAGAATATGAACGCATGACAGAGTTGTTAAAAACCAAACAGAAGTGTTGGATTACATCCTAATGGCAATTAATCACAGATAAGATCCTCTTCTGGAACAGAAATGAATGGAAAAACGAGCAGATGAGGTGTAGGCAAAGTTGTATATAGATGGCCTGATCCCTTACATGACTGCACAGGAGAAAATGGGAATTCCAAAGATGGCTTAGAATGGTCTCTCCGAGTACACAGAAGCTGACAATTCATCAAGTCTCACAATATTAATGTAAGTCTCTCACTTTTAGAGTTTTGTTTTTGTTACTTATGCTATCATTAAAAACAGCTTAGTCATAAGTCTAGCTGTGTTCCCTTCCACAGAGCCTGCTATCTGTATCTAGGACCTGCCTCACTAATCCCAATATCAGGTAAATAATCTTAAGGAGGAACTCACCTAGAGATGTTGGTTTGGCCCCTGGACAAGAACTTTATATCCAGATTTGCTGAAATGACACCATGGAAAAGTAGTGGACTGTATATTCCTGTTACTCTTGCTGTGAAAGAGTAGTTGAAACGTCCACTGCTATCCTGTACACAGCTACAACTGAAATCACGTAGTATGTTCTTGTCCAAAAATCATACCCTCATTTCCTGGATACAAACTAGATAGCAGGTGCAGGGTGCTCAGCTGGTGGGTTGGTCTGAATGTACAGCGTGTATCTAGGAACTGGAATTCCATTTCTGTACCTGTTCTATTGGCCCATTTGTCACAACCATGTAAAAAAGCGATCCACTTAAACGGATGCATCAAAAATATGGTTTCTTCCAGTGTCTGTATTCTGGCAGACCACATGGTACTCTCGGACATTTGATAAGCAAAAGCTAAGTAGGTTTCACTGAGCATAATGATGGCACAAAAAGATTATCCATGGATCCTGTTATGTACTGTCAGTATCAATTGAAAATTAATACATTTCAGCTCTCCTTATGAAAAAGAAATATAGGGCATGCTGAACAGTTATAGGAAGGATTGCCTTCAAATGATTTGTACTGTCATTCATGTTTATTAGATACAAAAAGGCAGGTTATTTCAATAAAATGTGAGAAGTATTCCTAAGTTATACCAAGGAAAGAGGTTCATACAGAAGTAAATATCGTACTACCAAGTACATTATGCAGATGTGCACAATTTATCATGTTACAGAACAAAACACAATGATACTAAACTTGTATTTTCCTTGTTGTCATGTGGCAGGCAAATCCCACGCTGGATCAGGGTAGGAAGGAATTAACACTGTTACATCTACCCTATGAACTAGGAGTGTGAAATCCCAGCTCAGAATAACAAGTTCACATTAGCTCTTGTCAAGAAAGTGGACTAAAAATATCAGCATGGCCACAGTAGCACAGGCAGCAGCAGAAGTGGCATGGGCTAGCTGCGCCTATTTCAAACCTACTGTAAATCTGGGCATATGTATCTGTGACGCCACTGCTGCCTACGGTACCACAGCTACATGGCCAGTTTAGGGTACTAGCTCACTGAACGCTCCAGGGGGTAACAACGTTCCCTCTAACCTTTTCCATCCACGCGAGTTTTTAACATCCATATTCAACATAAATGTTTTAATGTGCACCAAGGCACGTGCAAAGGTGCACCAAGAGTAGAAACAAAAATTCTAGCTGAAGGCACTCTACTAATTAGCTGGGCGACATTAAAATCTTCCCTGAGTGACTGCAAAAGTGTAAGGCTGTTAAAGTGTGGTTAATTGACTAGTCAACTAGTCGATAGACCAGGGGTGGCCAGCCCATTCTGGGCAAAGACACAAGATAGCAGTGGATCCAGCGCGAAGAACCAGGGAAAAGCTGTCGGGGGGAGGGGAGGGAAGGAGGACTGCCCCTTTTCCTTTTGCTTCTTTAAAAGGAGCCCCCAGTCGCATTTGGTCGATTTAAAAAAAACACCACCCTCTAAAAAAGGCTCTTCCCCTTTAAGAAACCACATTTAAACACGTTTTGAGGCTTTTTGGCCACAGCAGGCTCCCGCCACCTGCTGCCATCTTTACTTCTGCAGCTTTCATGGCTGTGCCGGACGGCTCCCCTGCCCAGGTCAGCACAGGGAGCCGGGAGGAGAGGGCCGTTTTGCAGGCGTGGGGGTGGCTTTTGAGCCACGGGGGAGCTTTGCAAGCCGCACTCGGGAGGGAGGAGGGGGGGAAGGGGAAGAAGAGCTGCATGCGGCTCATGAGTCTTGGGTTGGCCACAGCTGCAATAGGCACTTCCGCATACCTCCTCTGAAACATACAAGAGCCTCTCCTGGGAATGAGGAATAGGAAGGAGGAATGCGGAACTCTGCGTACAGTCTGGGGCCAGTGGGAAGTACCGCTGACTCTGGGCTGCACTCACTGTGCCTGCTTTGAAATGCACAAGAGTCCCCAGTCAGGGCTCTTGTGCATTTCAAAGCCATGGAGCCCACAATCACCAGGGGACTCATAGTCCCCCATTGACCCCGGGGCTCCATGCTACACTGCATGCCGCTAGGAGCCCAGGGTCAGCTGACCCCGGGTTCCACGCAGCACTTCATGCTCTCTCTCAGAGGCAGCAAAGGGGGTGGGATATTGATTAGTCAAAATACTATACTACTCAAAATGCAACTAGTCTTTTACATCCTAACACAAGTGCACAGATTACAGGGAACACTGCGGTGTGGGGGGTATGTCTATATGAGCTAGGAATCACATGTCTCAGTCATAGTGTAGATGTAACCTGTGTCTGGGAAGCTAGCCCACTGCACAACACCAAGAAATATCATCAAGCTGCCAGGAGTAAAAAGGGAGTAAAACAGGTTTCAGAAGTCAGTTGCCCTTATAGAGGGACCAAAGAGACAGGGGATTTAGGAGGTGCGCTCAAGTCACACTTCATTAGAAATTCTAGTAGCAGTAAAGCCTGTAAGAAGGCTTGAAATGGACTTAATTTGATGTAGTCTAGTGTCAGTGAAGCCAATCCATTGATCCTGATCCCACAAGCAGCTATATGTGGGCAGTGTGGAACATAACTATTTGGAAACAGAAATTCTTCACACAATCGGATCTGAAAAATCTCTAATCTACAAGAATAAGAGAGGTAATTAACATTTTTACTTTGAAATTAGAGGATATATGCTCTGTAGACTTTTTTTTACCTTAAGGTAGCAACTTTAGGTAGGCTAGATTTTTTTTTTTTTTTTTTTACTTGGCAGAAGGGGGAACTAGTACTTTCAGAAGTGGTTTGAGTAGGACTACTCTTAAAGGAATACCTGACTTAAAACTGTCCTAACTTAATAGCTACACCCTTAGACACTGATTCTGTAGGTTCTCCAGGGTTGGAGTACACATGGGTGAAAATTAGTGGGTGCTGAGTAACCACCAGCAGCCAACCACCCCCCCAACTGCATTCCAAGCCTGTTGCCTGTTAGTGGCCCTGTTGACCAAGTTCTCCCCTACCCTCCCAGCACTTGAAGTGCCGTGAACAGCTGATTTGCAGCATTCAGAAGTTGCAGGGGGAGGAGCAGGGATGCAGCATACTCGGGGAGGAAACAGGCCAGGGTTTTGGGAAACGGGGTGGAATGGTGATGAGGAAGAGACAAAGCTATTGTGGTAAGTAATGGGAAGGGTCTTATGGGAAAGGGGTGCAGTGGGGTTAGGGCCTGAGGTGGGAGGTGTCCAGCCCCCCTCCTAGGTAGAGGGGAAGTCAATGCCTGTGTGTGGACCTACATTCAAGGCTGCAGGCATTTATTTCATTCCTCATGATGAATGGAACTTGAAAGATTCAATTTGGTTCTGACAGGCGTACATGCTTCTGTACATGCTTGATCTCAAGAGATCAGGTTCTCTTGTGAGATTCCCACACTTGCATTTCTTGTCCTAGCAAAATCCAAGCAGTGCAAAACCAATCTAAAGGGATTAAATTAACCAAACATATCCACTTCTGAAAAAATGGCTTAGTTTGAGCTGAATCCTGGACAAACGTTCTGTTCAGTATCGATTTCATTCTAAATGGTTTTTTCACCTCTACTTTGTTCTCCATTCCACTAAGGCTTAAATCCTTCCTCTTGAAATAGTCCCCTAGGGTCATGCTAGGCGACAGTGCCTCTTCCTCCAGAGCGCTCGTGTGTGGAGTTATAGAAGTTATAACCTATCTGAAATGCCCAATGAACAAAGATGTAAACCAAGTACAGGTTGAAACCTCTCTGGTCTGGGAAGAGAGTCCTACTGAAGAGCTAGCACCTGGGAGGGGAGCAGGGCTTCCCAGCAGGGCTGTGGGAGCCTCATGTGCAGTTGTGGGAGCCTGGCACAGAGGCTGCCCAGAGTGGCAGCAGGAGCAAGGCTCTGCAGGGCTGCTGGGCGCTGGAGCAGGAGCCTAGTGTGCGCACAGGTGGCGGTGGTCCTTGGCACAGCAGTGGGAGCCCAGTGAGCAGAGGTGACGGGGCTGCCTGGTAGGGCAGCGGGGCCAGCGAGAGTGGGAGCCAATGGAGAGGGCAGTGATTAAGCCAGGGCTGGAGGGGGCTGGCGGACAGAGGGCCAGAAATGATGATCCCTGGTCCAGCAAAATCCCTCATCCAGGACTGGTCAGGTCCCAAGAATGCTGGACCAGGGAGGTCCAGCCTGTACAGAAGGTCTTAACTGCCAAATGCACACAGATAACATTTAGTCAGACATAGCTTCCACTGCAAATGCTAACAGCAACTTCTGCTAGTCCCTCTGTATCTGAGACTGATAAATATATTGAAAAGGAAATACAGAATGGATGAAATCCTGGATGCATTGTGTGAACTCCAGGGGAGCCGGGATTGCATCTTCTCTCCCTCTGCCCCTATGTCAAAGCCACATGAAATTTATCTCCAGTCTAAACTTCACACAGGTCTGTTTTAATGCTTTAGAAAGGTTTGATTTCTCCATTTTCAATTACAACTCCCATCTCCAATTAATGACCTTTCTTCTGCAAGGCAGGTCAATCATTCCAATTTCCCTCTCATTAGGTAAAATCTATTGACTCCAGAGTGGGAGAGATATTTACTATATATTTTAATGGAATCAAATAGTCAATTGAAAACTATTTCCCAATCAATGCCTTTCATTGATTATTCTTGTACAGTTGATATATTCGTTTTGCTGAGCTCCAGCTGCATCCTTCACATAAACGATGTCATCATGAGTGGCTGAATTGTTTCCATTCCCTCCGAGTGACTCCACTGCTGTGCCAAGCAGGCTGAGATTGAAAAGTCACACACAACCTAGCATGACACTTAACCCTTATATCACTGGCCAATGCTGGAATGTCTTGTGTGATCAAGAGATGCCTATCCTAACTGAAAGCACAGCCTGCCAAAGGGAAGCAGCAAGAGTTGGCACAGTACTCAGAGTAACTCTCTGCAGAGAAGTTGTATCAGCTAACCTAAGGGGATAAGAGCAGTGCTAGGAACACATGAGGGAAACAGAGAAAGAGAGGCTGCAGCTGAGAATTTTGATACCCTACCTCAGCGTTTCCCAAACTATGGGCTGCTGCCCGGTACCAGGCCCTGGGAAAAAAATATCGGGCCTCAGCGTGGCTGCCAGGAGGGGAGCGGGGCAGGCTGGGAGGAGGTGAGCGTGTGGGGGAAACCGGCCGCTGGGAAGCAGGGTTGGGGGCAGTGGAGTTGTCCGGCGGAGATGGGGGGTGGACAGAGGAAGCAGGGCAGGACGCAGGGGGGAGGGAAGGGAAGGGCTGGCTGCGGGAGATCGAGAGGAGGAGAACACGAGAACCAGACTCTGGAAACAGGGCTGGACAGGGGCAGCGGGAGGAGAAGCAGGGGAGAACCGGCCAGCTGGGAGGGGGTCGGGGGAGCGGGGCTGGTTGTTTTCTCAATGTGTTTCCCGGACAGAACCCTCAAATACCTGACTGTCCGGCACAAAACTGGACACCTGGCAACCCTACCCCTCCTTGCACCTTCCCTCCTAGCCAGATACCCTCCCCCCAATCTGCTCCTGCTCCCGCCTCCTGGAGTGCCCATGAGGCGCCAGGTCCCCCAGGCCCTGGCCCAGGCTGGAGGAGGATGCAGCCAGGTGAAACACTGAAAATTTATTCATTTTTTATTCTTTTTTTTTAAAATATGCATTTATGTTTTTGGGCTGCAAAAAAACAGTACTGAAAAAAAAAACGGGTTCCAACTAAAGTAAAAAGTTTGGGAAACCCTGGTCTACCCAGCTTTCTATCCATCTTACAGTCCATTTATCCAATCCATATTCCTTTAACTTGCTGGCAAGAATATTGTGGGTGACCGTATCAAAAGCTTTGCTAAAGCTGGCACCAGGGGCTTTGGGAGGACCAGAAACAACTTATTTGAATATTCACCATTTGCTTAATGAATATGCAAATGAATGTTACAGGTCCTCCAAAAGCTCGTGAATGGATTTACCGGTCCCATGTCAAAAAGTTTGGGAACCCCTGCCCTATATATGAGAGAGGGAGGGAGGGAGGGAGAGAGAGAGAGAATCAGACCAATTATCTGCAGCCAACAGATATAATTTCACACCTAAAGCCTTTAACCTCATCCCATCGAACAATGCTCTTTAGTTTGTTAAGCAAAAGAGATCTCTTGTCCTTTTAAACTTTGCATACCCAGGTTAAAAATAAAAGCTATCCATTTTTATCTATCATCATTAGCACATTAGGTGGGACATGGTAACACATCCACAATTCCAAACAGCTAGATTCTTGTGGACCTGTATTTACCAATCCCTCTCTTTATAACATTAGACTAGTCAGACACATGAAAGATGACATGCTGGTATGTTAAACTTAAGACAAGCACATCTCATATACCAGCTGTTTCCTGTTCAGACTTCCCCCCCTTTTCCCCCCAAGCCAAGATAACACACTTATCCAGGAATAAATACCAATTTATCAATTCAGATTTTCCAACCACTTCTACTGCAATCCAACAGCATATGTCAAAGTACATCGGACTTTCTTGGGACTAACAAAATGGGGAGCATTCCAGTAGTTCAAACAAAGGTCTAGGTCCACTATTCTCTATTCTGCAAACACACAGCACATACCATGTCTACGCTGTGTCTCAGTTTACCCACATGTGAAATGGATACAACATCTACCTTACGATGCCATTCGAAGAATTTTTCTTTAGAAGATCCTTAGATTAAAAGGCTCAGTTGGGACCTGAATGGTCCCAAATGCCGGGATTTGCCAGACCAGGGGAAATCCCTCCTCTCCTGACCTGGGCTGTCACCAGGTTAGGGCTCGAGCCTGCCCCCATTGTTGCCCCAGACCCTGAGGGGCCTCTAGATGCTGCCAACCCCACTGCTGCCAGGGCCAGTGCACTATGGTCAGAGCTCTGCAGCTGTGACAGAGCTCCATAGCCACCTGGCTCTGCAGCTTGGGCCAGAGATCTGCTGCTGGGGCCAGGACTCCCTGCTATGTTATCCGTTCCCACCCCACACATTGGTCTCCAGCTGAGTTGCAGGTGTCCCTTTCGGCACTCCTGTCCCACTGCAAGACCTCCCTGTACCAGTGTTCTGTGGTCCAGGAACATCCGTGGCTGGTGCTGTATCATAGATGTTGCCAGACCAGAAAGTCAGATCAAAGTCTTGGGGGTCATGCCACCATTTTACAGGTGCACAGCATACGTGCAACTTCCAGGAAAAATCATTATTCTTGCAGTCTGTCTTATCTTTTCACTTGTAGGCAAAATACCAGCGGTTTTAATAGCAGATCTCATTATAAAGTATAGTGAGCATCTGCTCTAACTAGTAGTTGCCTGAATTTGAATCTTGACAAGATGGAGGTGGGACAAGGTGGAAGAAGAGCGTTTTTAAAGAATTCACTACCTTTCTTCCAGTCCAAATCACTGAACGTCACTGTCCACACACTCAGTTTCCTCAGATGTCCATGTAGCCATGGTGGCAAAACGCTCTGCACCTGGCTAGAGGCTTACACTCTATCCTATCAGACACTGCTGTGGCCCCACATACCCATATTTATACCATCCAAGAACAGCATCCATGCAATTTCTGTACTTGGGAATGAAATGCCACTTCCCAAGGAAACAACAACGATCCCTGAATTCAGCACTGTGCCTGCTCAGTAACCTGGGTTCCTCGGAATACTGATTTGCCACTCCCTTCAATGTCTCTTCACTGAGCACAGCATCAGTTCCAGGTCTTTGTGCTGGTTTACAAAACCTACATAGCAGCGGCTCTAACCGGGATTGTCTCTTCTTTCAGAATGGTGGCTTCACACAAAAAAGTTATACTCAACCAGAAGAATGAAGCTGTTAACAAAGATCGAAGACTCATATCCCCAGGAGATGGAATTTTCAAGGCGCTGGACAATGATTTTGGAATTCTCTGTCAGGTGAAATTAGAAGGATCATAAATCTTGCTTCATTCCCAGCCAGCACCAAAACTATTTCCTTGACTTAGATTTTCTTCAGAACCGTCTGAAGCACATCAGCTCTCTCACACTTTGTTGTAAATAAAAGGAAATTCCCAGCAATAACGTTAAACTTGTTTCTAACAGTGAGTATGGAAGGAAGTTGCTCAGTTATCACTGTTGTGGTTATTCAGAGTGTATACATTAACTCTGTGGCAAAGTCTGCTGTTGATATTTCAGGGAGCAGTGCTGCCATAGATACTTTCTGAACTCATCCCATTTAAAAGTCCTGTTTGGAGCCTTTGCTCCCAGTTACTATACTTTAACAGAGCAGAAAGGGTTTCTGTTGAAATCCCAGCAGGTCTTTGAATCCTGCATGGAAATATTGCTTGGCTCAGTACATCAAGTGAGGCTTATTATCCCATCCTGAACAAAAGGGAGATAGGAATACTTCTCTAGACAGAGAAAATCGGGGCCTGGAACAAAAGCAATGCTGGAGGCGAATCCAAGGAGTAGCCTAGCAAGGGGCGGAAAGTGTAGGCGGAGCATAAGCTGTTAATTTGCCAATAGAAGAGGACTTGCAAGAAGAAGTGTATTTCAGGGCACTAACTGACTGAGTGTCCTATGCTAAAGTGGGGATAAATATTCAGCTTGTTTACAATGACCCCAAAACTTCTCTGAATCAAGAAGGTCCATAATGAACTACCCATAATGTTCCACAAACTTTCCCATATTAGTTTTACACTATGAACATGCCAGATGCAATTTTTAAAATATAACAATAAATTGTAACCACTTTTAATGAAGAGTAAGGAGTATCTTATTCGCCCTAGACAATTATTACTTTTAGATGGGCTTGCATCTAATTTTCACATTGCACCACACTTTTAATGTTGAAGACTGGCCCTAACCCAAATCCCCACCCCCACTGAACCCCACTCCCCCAAGCACCTTGACTTCCCACATTCAGATCCTACTGCCAAGCTCTATTCCCCCGAAACCCAGACCTTCCCCACTGAGCCCCAACCACCTTCATCTGGACCCCTCTGAAAAGGCCTATTAACATTGCACCCAGAATCCCACAAGTCCCTGTGCATCCAGGTCCCCCCTGAACCCAGATCCCCCCCCCTCCTCTTGTGAGCTGCCCACACCCAGTCTAAGCCACAAAGAATGATCTCAACCCACACCTCAATGTGCCCACATTCACTAAGCCTCTCCAAATTTGGATCCTTTCTGCCTATACCTGGTGCAGCTGGCATGGACAGCCCAGGAGTGTTTCTGGGGCAAGGCTAGTCCTTGTGCTGCATCAGGATTGGATGCAGCCTCACTGCTGAGGCTGTGTCCTAGTGGTGGAGGTTAGGGGAGCTGCACCTCCCACCTCTGTGCTCTCCAATGCAATGTAATTTACATAACTTGAAAATATTGTGCAGAGAACCTTTTTGGTGTAGAACGCCCTCAGGAGTAAAATAACTGGTGTTGTTCTCCTAGTGCAACTGCTAACCTTTGCATTCACAAGGTTTGGAGGCAAGAGGGAATTTTGCAACTCTCATATGAATAGCAAAGGAAATAATTTATACAAAACACTAATGCTATGACGCAGGTATCATCTACCAGTTGACTAATATCACCAGGCAGGGATGCACAGTACAGCCTCTATCAAGAGATAACTTGATGGATGCCTCTTGCATCACTTTAGTTTATTCCATTTTGCTTCCTCCTTACCCCCACCCCCAGAGCCTGTGTTAAAATTTTAAATGTTACAAGGAAAGGCATCTAGATAGATTGCCAATTTCCAGTACGTTATTTAAAATGACCACACAAAAAGACTTGCTTTTTGTAAGATTCCACATAAAACACCTGTAGGAATCCTCTTATTAAAAGCAGCCAAGGAGTTTAAAGTATAGACAACATGTACTTCTGATGAAGGCAAGAAAGGCACTCTCCCCCCTAAAATAATAATAACAACTGCATGAAACACTTATCTTTTTATGTTACAGAACAGCATGATTTAATGAGATGATCACAGGAGTGAGAGCTAGAAAATTTTGAACTCAGGAGTTGCTGTGTCCTCAAAACCAATTACTTTACCTCCCAGCCTCCACTTTCCCTATCTGGGAAAGGAAAATCTGACTTACCCCTCTAGTGAATAGTGATGATTAATCACTTCATACTTGAAAAACACTTTGAAGATGAAACATATCAAGTATATGGCACTATATGTGAAGCAGTACAGAAAACCCCCCCACCCTTCCAACAGGGGCCAAGGCCAGATGCTTCAGACAGAATTCACCCTAGAGCTTAAGAGGCCTTACAAAATCCAATAGCCCCATGTCCAATAGCCCCATGTCCTGAGTTAATCTGGCCCTGCCACATTCTGGGGACACAGTAACATCCAGTCTGTAATGTCAGAAAAGGCCTGATGTAAGATCCCACAACTTTGCATTTTGTCTCCACTAATTGGAAGGAAGCACATGATATCCAATGCCTGATATGCAACAGAAGCATGTAGGAACAATGCTTCATGCTTTAACTAAAAACTGACAAGTGCATTTCAGCAACTATAGGCCTGTTAGACATCTGTAGTATGTAAGATCCTGGAAAAAATTTTGAAGGAGAAAGTAGTTAGAGACATTGAGGCTAATGGCAATTGGGACAAATTACAACATGGTTTTACAAAAGGTAGATCGTGCCAAACCAACCTGATCTCCTTTTTTGACAAAGTAACAGATTTTTTAGATAAAGAAAATGCAGTGGATATGATCTCCCTCGACTTTAGTAAGGCATTTGATACAGTACCACATGGGGAATTATTGGTTAAATTGGAAAAGATAGGGATTAATATGAAA